CGAGAGAGGGAGAGCGGACAGAAGAGAGTTGAAATGCTACCAGCGAAGCCAAACTCCCCTCTTCCTTCCCTACTTTTCCCCAAGCTGGCCGAATGTTTAGAGAGGGCGCTCATCACGCAGTTCTAAGCAGCAGGGTCTGGCAGAACTCTCAGGTAACGAGTAAGAGTAGCGAAGGAAAGGTGCTGCGTGAATAACCCACTTCGAAACCCCAGGCAAGGCTGGATCGGGATTCCAGGCGCCCCAGCCCTCGTTTGTCTCTTCCCACCCCATCCACCCGCTGACATCAGAAGCGGATCGTGCCCCCTCCAGCCTTGCCAAGAGAATGCTGGCAGTGGTGCAACTGGGGCTCCAGCGCCCAATCGCCTTGTAAAATTCCTTTGCCCTTCCTTTCCTTGCGGGAACGTGTGTCGTCTTGGCATGAGCCTGATGTGACTTTCCCACCCCCCTCTCGCGCTGGAATGATGGGGATCTTTTGGGCTTATGTTGGATTCTTTTCCTTATCAGTCTTATACATCCAGCAAGGACTTTCTTCTCAAGGTAAGAGCCGTGCTTTCTTCCCCAAAAGAATTGGAGCAAAGGGGTCTTGGGTGGACCCAAGAAGGCTGCCAGAGCGGCGGAAGGGTTGAGGAGGAAAGGTGGACTTCAAGTATCCTCTTGCCATTGCGCCTAAACCTTTTTCTCGACCCATCACGGGTTTGTGTGTGGGGTGGGGGAAGAAGCAAAACAAGGAAGAAGTTCAGCCGAAGGGACTGGGAAACAACCTCTTGCATAGGTTTACATAGCTGGCTGAGAAAATGCAACATTGTTTATTTGTTTGTGAGTCATGTATGAGGAAGAAAGACAGACAGAGATGGGTTTCCAGGAGTGGAGCAGTATATAGCACACTATTCTTGCAAACCTTGCCTTTAGGATTCACGCTCATGCAGTCAACAAAATTTGCTCACCTCTCTTAAATAATGCAGTCTTTTCCACAACACCACTTTCATTCTCTGTCCTCGCAATCCTATCACCCATATTCTCAAACCTTGGTTTTCATTTGTCTTTCTACAAAGAATACCCCCCACGCCGGCTCCTGCCACCCTTTCCAAAGGCGCCTCTTGCATTCCAAGTAGCCCCCGCTCTGCAGACTCCCTTCCCTGCTTTTGAGACTTCGAGGGCTGCAGCAATCACTTCAGCACCCTGGACAGATCGTATCGCGCCTGCCGGCCGACTGTACCTCCGCCTCTCCTTGTTTATTTGTTTAACTCGAGACGGGGGTGGCAGAGGTGGGGAGGGCGAATGACAAGCTCCTGAAATATGACCTCTTTCCTTAGTGATGAGGTGGACAGATCTCTCGTGATGGCTGGGGAGGTGGGGGACAGTGCATGAGATGTCTTTGAAATGGAAAGCACAGTCCAATATCCCCGGAAAAGCCTGCCTCAATACTTTCTAAGTAAAGGCTGAACTGCTATTACAATTTTCTTTTCCCTTCTAAATAGCACAGCGGTGAGCCCAGGTTATCCTCTAGTACATATAGATGAAATATTTTTGAGGCTGTTTCACTATGCCCCTTGTCAATCCATAACGTCACAGTGTTGAAGGAAGCAGTTTACCTGGTAAATTCTTGCCTGGTTCCTTATTCCGTCTGATGACTCTGAAAACTGAAAGAGGAAGAAGAAAATGATGATTACTGCTATTGTTACTTCTATTGTGTGTATTATTATTACAGGGCTGGTTGAACTGAACCTGTTTTGATGAGAGTTCCCTATATGAACAGAACAGGCATAAGTGAGGTTGTGGAAATGATTCGTTGTGTGAAGATATATTGTAGCATGCTGAAATATGCTGTTAAAATTCATACCCCATATTATTAGACTTCGAAGGGGTTAGCCATACTGGAATACTAGGATTTAACTGAGGAAGCAAAATATGTCCAGTTAGTCAATCTCTTGGATTAAAATACATTCAAATCTCTTCTTACTTTGATATTGCCAGCAAAAAATATTTAAAAATGATAGAAAGACCGAGTGTAAAATTGCTTGTTCATTATAATAAGCAATTATTGTGATCCATTTAAAAAAATATTCAGATAACCGGTAAACAAAACCCTTATTTCCATCAGCTTCAGTTTACTCACAGGCTACAAACTCATGAATAAAATATAATAAATTCTCCAGATTGGTTTTCCAAATGCCTTTGTGCTGGATTCTCAAGCAAGAATACTAAATTATGACCTTTCATCAACTATTTATGTTTAATTTGCTCTAACTTGCAAACTCAAAAAGGTTATCCAGGTGTTCACTTTTTCCAGTTCACTGACTTGGGGAAACAGTGATTTACTGGTCAATGTCTCTAAGAGTGAAAAAGAGTATACATTCTGAGGAGGGATGGGAAGAGGAAAGAGTAGAAGAAATTAAACTGAAACAAGAGAGTTACAAGAAACGTGAAAATTAAAATGAATAGAAGGAGTGGCTAATAGTGAACCAGAACAAGAGGGACAAGACTGCAGCTCCATGCACACTTACTTGAGGCGGGGGGGGGATGAGCCCTATTTAACTCAGTAAACAGGCATATGCTCACAAGGCAGCTGCCTGATCTTGCACATATTGAAAGTCTTATGACTCGAAAGAATTTACTCTCAGTCAAGTGTGTATAGAATTGTTATCTGAAGAAATGAACTTAGTGAAGGGAAAGAGATGAGAAAAGAGAATGGGGAGAGGAATTCCAACGAGATCTGCTTTTCTCTTGCAGCCAAATTTACTGAATTTCCTCGAAATGTCACAGCTACTGAGGGACAGAATGTGGAGATGTCTTGTGCATTCCAGAGTGGCTCTGCCTCTGTTTACCTGGAAATTCAGTGGTGGTTTCTGCGGGCAGCCGAGGACCAAGAACCTGGAGCTGAGGTGACAGGCACTCAGGTACCAGTTTGTGGCCTCTGCAATCCTGTGCAAGCCAGCTATCCCCCCAAAGGAGAGAGAAAGGGGATCCAGAGAAGGCAACAAGGGCTGGGTTTCCCCACAGACCTCCTTTTCTTATTGACCGGTAGCTGTTGAGAAGCAGCTACCACAAGGGGACAGAACACTGAGCCCTTCATTTTGTTTTTTGGCAGACTTTGAAAACATGGTCAATTCACATGCATGGATAAGGTTGTATGTGTTTTTCTTCAGAAATTATTTTTCCACTGTGATGAGGCACAATGCGGATGAAGTCTTGGGAATGGAATCAATTGAATTTGTAACCCCTAGTTGTGCAACCAAAGTCACTGGAAAACAAGATCTCCCATTAGAAAGTCTGCTAGATGTAATTCTTTCCCTTCAGGGAATCTCATTACTTCCTCCATTGTTTCAGACTGATAAACACATGGAACAGAACTTGTCTTACTAACCCACTGTGCAATAAACCATTATATATATAATTTCTGGAAACCACGTTGATTTTCCCAGTTGTACCGATTCTTTCTTGCTTCTTACTTGGCAAGAAAGAATTTCCTTATTTCAGAGGATGTTTGTTTTCCCTCTTGCCCTATGGAAGAGAAGCCGACAGAATCTTTATTGCTCTTAGTCTTTCAGCCCTCTTTGCTGATTGCAACATTTTTATGTAACAATTCATTTGGTATCCAGATGTTTTTGCAATTCATAATTTTGCACATGCTAAAAAAACCTCATGAACTGGTTGTCCTTTTCGGTGTGGCACTCTGATATTGTAGGATGCCTGCAGTTACTGGCAGCCATTAGATGGAGCAGAATCTGAACTGATTAGCTCTTACCTAACTAATACCACACTGGCTAGCTGGAGCAGGAAAGGTTGTCTTTCCGCCTATAGATGGCAGGCTCAGCATGTGAGTCATCTCTGAGGAAGAATCTATTATAATAATCAGTATTTCCATATCAGATTCTCACCAATAAAGCTTCTGCAAAAGTTCTTCCTTATCTGTTGATTATTATATCAAGAATATTTGTTATGCAATGAACTATGTGCTTCTTTCTTTAAAAAGTGTATAGAAGGGAGAGGATTGGACCCAGCCTGTGGTTCCTTTAATCCTGTGCAACCATTGTGGTTCCACGCAATGCTTCTTCCGTTGTGGCTGCTATTTACAATTAATTATTACAAGTTTTCCAAGAGGGAGGGTAGCTTAATTCCTTATAGTACCTTAAAGGCTAAAGACTAACAGACTGCAGTCCATGAAGGATTTTGCCAGATCAAACCTGTTAATCTTTAAAGTGTCATGAGATTATCTTACTATTTCACATTGTGAGTTGGTATATGATTCTAAATGAAATCAAAGCATGCTTCATAGACTTAATGTCCTTCCATCCTACACTGTGGTCCTGATCATGCTCCCCACCACATACAGGGAAATACCAGCTATTGGTTACTTGGTTGGTTGGTTGACTGAATAAAAGTCATGCCTGTCAGATCAAACCATATGTTGAACATAAGGTCTAGATTGATTCTCCATCTCTTCTGTGGATTGTCATCTGAGTTTAACATCCTTACTTCCTGAACATCATGTAAGAGAAAGGACATCATGCAAGGGGAAGGATAGCAGGGATAGCCACATTCTCCACACTGAGGCTAATGTAGACCCATTTGACAGGGGCCAAATGGCTGATAGTCTGGAGGGCTTATTGTGAAAAATACATGTAAAGAGGTAGGCACACAGACCATGTGTCCATAAACACACCATTCAGAATTATGTATAATATTGGCTGAAATTTTACTGCTTGGTGTAGTAACTCATATAGGAGTAGATCCATTTAATCAGCGTAGACTTGATGAGCCAACTTCTCTTGAAGCCCCATTGATTCTAATGGGCTTACTCTAATTGCAGATTAATTCAGCATAGTAAATCATAACTAGAGTAGGCCTGTTTGAATCCACTGAACTTACAGAAGACTCACCAAATCCCCACTGAGTCAATGGGCCTACTCTAGTATGATGTATCATGCTAAGGAGTCTCCTGACACAGTGGTTAAACTGCAGTAGTGCAGCCAAAACTCTGCTCATGACCAGTTCCAGGCAGATGGCTCAAGCCTGACTCAGTCTTCCATCCCTCCAAAGTCAGCAAACTGAGTACCCAGCTTGCTGGGTGAGGGGAAATATGTAGCCTGCATAATCAAATTGTAAACTGCCCAGAGAGTGCTTTAAGTACACTTTGATTTTTGCTTTAAGCAGTAGGATTTCAGCCTTTGGATAAGATCTCTGTTTTAAATGTATTACTGGTGTGTACTCTAAATGAATTCTGCATTATATGCACACTCATTTTCTCTATCCCAGTGAATTAGTCACACAATTTCAGCAATAGCAAACATGTGATACACTTAGCCCCCTCCAGTGTGCTAAGGATTAGGCAATTATGAAAATTGCCTTTCGTGATATGAGAGAAGGTAGATCTTTGACAGTGATTCACATATTCAGGGATATTCGAGTCATCTCCCCTGTTTTCTAGCTCAATTCTCTCTCTCCTTCCTAAACACTCATGATTTCTTCTTTTCTTACCTCTACTTCCAATGCATGTACCTTTGCAGCAACTTGTTTATGCTCTTGTGCAGATATGTTTTTGAGAACAGGATCCTCCTCTGTAGCATTTTAGTCCACATAAACAACAGAATTAGAGTGTTATTTTCTCTTATGGTGCGGCTGCTCTTAACTCCTAAGGGTGTATCAGAAATGCTTTCTGCAGAAGCTAGAGAGTTTTGTGAGAAATCAAGAAAGACCTGAACAAATCACTCATCCTGTTTTTTTCTTGTGCAGCCTCTTTAGTTAGCTGTTTCTCAGGTGGTTAAATGAAGAAATTAAAGCAATAATATTTTTAACTAGAAGCCATCTTACTTGCTTTTTCACAGTAAGGCCTGGGGGAAATGCTGACAGGCAGGGAAATCACCAATTTCATATTTTTTTAAAAAATGAAAGCCCACTTTGTTTCTCTTGGCAACCACCCAACTGCCCTCAAGACACAATTAATTGCAAAACTATTTACTTTTATAGGAACCAAATGTTAAATAGGAGTGTGTGTGTCCACAGGTATGCACACACAGAGATACAAAGACACATTTAGGGTATCAGAAACTGGGAAAAGGACAGTTACAATGGCAATGGTCTTCAGGAGCAAATGGTAATTCCAGATAGGGAAAGAATGAAAGTGAGAACTTTGATGCACCTGTAAAATGATGAGGGATTTCCAAGACTACCAAACAGAGCTGTGGGGAGCCAGGTAAGAATCTCATTTGGAGCTAATCTGTTTTCAGCTATGGGCCTTGAAGGGTAGAGGAAGTGAATCAGGAAAGCTTCCCTCAACACCTGTAAGGAGTGCTCACTGAAAAGAGAGCAAGATTCTGACCACTCTTAATTTAGGAATACCACACAGTGTCAGGCCTTTTGTCCAGCATTACCACACTAAACCTCTTTTTTCATTTAGACCTTTGTTTAAAATCATCCAGCTTAATGAAGGTTGTGATCCTGAGCCATCCAGCCCATATGCCTCTCATCTTCTGATTCTGGGAAATGTCATTTAAAAAAAACTTTTTATTCAGGTTAGTAGACAAAAGCTGGTCAGATTCATATTCTGAGCCAACTGATTATGAACTGCATCAACATCATTAAATTTGTCCGCACACCCAGCACCATGATTCCCACAGCCTTAAATTCACCCTCCAGAATAAACACCCACCTGCCAACATCCTTCACCTCTTGAATCAGGCCATTGCTGGGCTGGTTCAGACCCTGCCATTGGCGGACATAGCCAATTAAGGCTAAGAAGAAATTAGGGTGGAACCAGAGGGAAGCCATGGGAAAATTCAATCTGGAAATGAACAAAGGAAGTTTGTTAACTCTTATACTGCAGCTACCTTACTTTTGTCATACAAAAACAGTTCTCCATTTTCCAACAGGTGGAGTTATTACCAGAGAGAGATTTGGACAACGATGGAACAAAGATAAGCGTAAGTATGTGTCAAATTATAGACTGCTGCTACATTTTAAATGTTTTTCCCTTGTTTTTTTCCTTTTAATTAAAAGCCATCCAAAACCTACAAGCAACATGCTAATTACTTTCTATTCTTTTACTCATGATTTTATTTATCCCTTAACTTCTAATTTCTCTCCTATTGCAAATTTGATGTCCTCATAGCTTTGAGATAAATTATGATATGAGATATATATAGATGTGTTGCATTTCTCTGGGGGAAAGTCTAAACTGACTATTCTAGATTCAGCAAATTCATGGGTGTAGATTGCTGGCAGAGAGGTCACTATTTCTTCCGAAGTAATATATAGGCATTCCTTCTGAGGTGAATCATGTGAAGAATGTCAAGGAAGGAAGGAAACTTCCTTAACTCTTTAGGGAATTTTATACAAAGTGTATTTTCAAAAACAGGAATATAGGCTGTCAAACAAAGGCCATTATAATGCCATCTTTCTGTCACTGGAAATGAACATCTTTTTGACATACCTTGCTGAAGTCTCCACACAGTGTTATACCATATAGACACAGGAAATATTACCAAACCCACAAATGCACCAGAAGCCTGAAAAAATCCAACAAGTCCTAGGACTGCCATGGATGTTTCCCAGCACAATGATGGATAGCTTTTTGAAGGTGATGAGTATTGTATGACAGCCAGCAACCCCTTAAAGTCATAAGATGTGTTAGAACCTATCTTCAGATTCTACTAATAGCTCTGTTCTGGGCTAGTCCTATACCATGCAAAAACAGTTAATTTGGGTGTGATCACATGGGGAAATAGATAACATTGTGGACTGTTTGTGGAGTGGTCTGGTGTGATCTGTTTCCCAGTGATCACACAACATAGAGTGCATTGTACTCCAGTCCAAACCCAATCCATTCCCAAGCTGGTCTTTGTTTGGTTCACTATAAGTCTACTACTTTTGGGGCTGGGCTGGAGTGATTCCCTTCAGACCGAAAGGTTGTTTTAAGAAAGATTATTCCCTGTAAAGTGATCCCAGTGTGATTGGGCACATGCCATTTTGCCACCTTTGTTTCAAATGCTTGATGGGATATAATCACCCTTAATTATTTAACTAATGAAAGTCAGGGAGAATACATAAGTGATATGCACATTTTCATGTCTGATAACTAGCACTACATAGTAATCCTTTGGTGACAAAAATTAGTTTTTTGGGAAAAAATCTCTGCCATGATAAACACTTGAAACATGCTGAGGGGAGCTAAAATGCTTTAAGTGAGATCAGCAAACGTTCTTCATGGGGTCTAAACAGTCCTAAGCTTGGAACTAGCTTTTACAGTCAACTGAATTTATAGTGATTAAAAGATAAACTAAGTACATTTGCATTTGCCTTGTGTGATGGTTGACAGCCAAGCTAACATGTAATACTTGATAATATTTACCAAGATCACGTAATACTTGATAATATTTACCAAGATCACATAGGAATCTGAAATTTCAGTGTAGATTTTGTGTTACTAAAGAATTCAGCTATCTCTCTCTCTCTCTCTCTCACACACACACACACACACATGAATCCAAAAGTAAACAAGTTATCAATTTTAATGGTAGTACATGTATTATAAAGGTTTATAGCATCCAGTACACTCCTAATGACATCATGGAGGTTATATTGGGGGGTCAACAGTTGCTTAAATTGCTGTGTTTTTATGGCCACTCTTCTTCCTATTCCCAGTGGTTAAGATAAGATAAGATAAAATAAGATAATGGTAGTGTATGTGTTACTTTTTCCATGTGATGCAACTCTGCATTTTCATCAAGCATAAGCAGTATGGGTGTCCATTAAGTAATTTTGTATAATATATTTGCTGAAAAACAGAGTTGCTTTTGTTCTTGGATTCACATATCACACTTTCATCAGACACAACAGAATGTTTGCCCAATGTGATGAAAACAAACCCTTCAGAATGCTTAGTAGGTTTTTTGGAAAAAAATCACAAATAGGAAATATACAAGTCCTGGATTCACTTTCAATATTATTTTATTACCTAAATGCAGAGAAGTCAAAGTAATATAAGGTGGGTTATTTTCAAAGAGTTAGAGTGACATTGAGCAACACACAAAATCAAAATAAAGGATAGAAGTGAGAAACTGGATCCTCAATATTCTTGTTCTAACCAGAGAACACAGCAAAGAAATGAAGCCTGCCAGCCATATCTTGACCATGTCTCAACTATACAGTATGGTCTTCAAATTGCATTGTTTTTATTGAATTATTACTATTGTGATTGCTATAAAAGACAATCAACTCTGTTACAGTGCAGATGTGAAATTTCTCTCCCCCAGTTTCACCTCTTGGGTGCTAAACTGGGATGATGCTTTATGGGAAATGGGGGAGAAAAATGCTACTGGTGGAAATGGTCCTCATAGGTTTGGCAGCCTTCATTTTTTACTCTCTTGGAAAGATACCACATGATGGGAAATGTCCTGTCAAAAGCCATTATTCCAGGGGGAGGGTGAAACTTAGGGTGAGGATGAAATAAAATGAGGTGGGGGTCATCTGAAATTCTCCCCAGCTGAGTGAATGGCTTTTTCACCTTCACTGATTGATTTGTTGGATCCTGGTTCAGTAAAGTCAGGAGAAACTAAAGCTGCAATCCTAGGTACCTGGACCTTGGAGTAAACCCCTTGGAACATGATAGGACTGCCTTCTAATTAACATTCTTGATCTATAGCACTCATTAAAATCTCTGGAAGCAGAGTGCAATCCTATGTAAAGATAAGTGGGAGCAAGTCCCACTGAACTCAGTAGAACCTATGTCTGAATAAACACTTATAGGATTACACTGCAAGATTCACTGCTTTCAGAAGGAATTGGGACCAAGCAAGATGTGATAAAAATTGTACTTAATAATTTTCCAGAGATGGGAAAGTTACATTGAAACTACAATATCTACAACTCCACAATCAGTCTGGCCAGTGATTGTGGAATTCTGGGAGCTGTAGGCTAGAGAAAAATGTTCCCCATCTTGGCATTTTCCTAGGTTAGCAACCGGAAAGGATAAGTTTCTGGAGAAAGTTGTTGCTCCTTTCTCCCATGGCTCCATTTTGCAATTACACTCCACAACTCTCTCTCTCTCTCTCTCTCTCTGCCATTAGGGAAATGCAAAGGTGATGCAATAGTACCTGTATAGCATTTAAAAACTCTTGGGGTTAAACATGTGTTCAGGAAAAAAATTATTCTTTTCTTCCATTACTTCTATTCAGACCTCCCCCGTGTGTTATCATAGCTATTATTGTTATTATGATTAATTTAATACAGGAAGTTCTAATTATACAACTCTCACATCATGTGTAGTTGTAGCCTTGGTCCTAATAACAAACTTCAGCTGAGTTGGGCATTGCTAATTTAAATTCTCAGTGATCTAATATGGCCCTTTAACTGAAAGTGAGTTTAATTGAAGAAGCTGATTAATTTATGCTATTAAGGAGTTCACTGGGCACAATTTGATTCTGGAGGAATTTATTAGAAGCTTAAGCAAGAATTAGGATGTAACTGAGAGCATACTAGGCTAACAAAATATATAAATAAGATCCTATTCAACCTTTAGTTTTCAAGATCTGAGCAGGGTTGTTAATGACAGAAGCTTCTGGAGGCCACTGATTTGTAGCATCTCTATAAGGCAAAAGTGACTTGATGGCATATAACAACAGTAACAGCTTGTTTTTAAAAGAGTATGGTCTGAATATTCGTATAATCTAAGGAGAAAGTGATGCAGTAACAGCCTGTTTTTAAAAGAGTATGTTCTGAAAATTCGTATAATCTAAGGAGAAAGTGATGCAGCAGAAATACTTTTGAGTGTCAGTTGTGGAATGAAGTGTTAATGCTTCATATCTATGCTACCAAGAAAATACAACCATTTGAACAATTATATAGGAGTTATCCTGAGATCGATCTGAATAGGAATGATTGGTAAACTACCACTGTCTGATCAGAAGTAGGTAGCCAGGAAATATATTTTTTTTTCATTGCCAGTAGTGGATTTCACCGATGATGGGTTGTCATGTTAGGCTGCAGGCACACTGAGCAATGTGAAGGTGCAATAATGCTACAGCGCCCATCCTGCTGCCTGCATTAAACTGATTTCTGATCATCCACGTGCCATTTTGACAAAGTGCTCATGACCTTAGTACTCATTTTGCAGCAGTCCTGTTGCCATTGTATCTGGGTTGATGCCCTTATTGAATAATCATGAACCAACCACCATGACTATGCTCTCTCTCTCTCTCCCTCTCCCTCTCTCTCTGCGTACATCCCACTTGAACATGTCAGTGAGGTGCTATACTGTTCAGACCACATGTCATCACAGTAAGACACCACCACAACCTAAATTACAGACTTAACAAGATAATTAACAAAGATAATAAGTAAAGTTTTTTCAATGTGAAAAATCTTTTTTCAGATATTTTCCCCACATAGCAAGCAGAATGCAAATGAAGTTAAAATATCATGCTATGTATTATTCTATTATCAGAATATATATTTGCTTGCTTTGTACTGCTTTATTTTTATATAATGGCCCAAGTCCATTTGCTACTCCTGCCAAGATTAGCACAATAAATCAATTGCTGAATAGCAAATCAACTCTTATATTAAATCGCAGGCCTATTCTAGTAAAAAGTCACTTTTGGATTTTAGATTACACTGTAAGGGCAGCTTACATGAAATTGTAACAGAGTTACCATCACCACCCCTCTACTCCACAAACCCACACACCTACTGTATATATTGCATTAGCCAGTTGGCTATAATTCTCTGGTCTGTGAATGAGGTGACTTGCTTTCTCTTAGTCTTTTCTCCCAAGACAACTGGTTGGTTGTACTCAAATAGTCTCTAATGTGGGAAGAAGGGAAACAAACTCACTACGGTTGCTTCTTGTGTAAATTATGGTTGGGGTGTCGACTGAATGTCATGCCTGATATGGGATGTTGTTTCTGGAAATTTTGCAGACAGTAAAAGTACAAGGGAATGACATCTCTCACAAGCTGCAGATCTCCAAAGTCAGGAAAAAGGATGAAGGGTTGTACGAGTGCAGGGTGACCGACGCCAATTATGGAGACCTTCAGGAATACAAAGCCCAGGCCTATCTCAAAGTCAATGCAAACAGCCACTCCCGACGAATGCAGGCCTTTGAAGCTTCTCCCATGTGGCTACAGGACAAACCTCGGAAGAACATCTCAGCAGCCATCCCCAGTAGCATCCATAACTCTGCCAGTCAGCGTATACGCCCCACCTCCAGCCCTCCAGCAGATGCCAAAATCCCCAAACAAAGCCCACAATCAGGTATGAGAGAATATTTTGAGCACTTGAAGGGTTTACTGTTAATGACCTTGGGACATGATTCAGACTCAAAATAAAAGAGGGGAAACATTGTTGCTGGAGAGAAATTGATGCTCTATGTCATGTTAGAACCAGCGCACACTTAGGAAAACCAAATCCAATAATTTCCCTATGCTTGGTCCTCCTGACTGTGCAGAACAAAAACAAAGCCACACAGCCTTTAGCACGGTAATTTCATGCCCTAACTATTCTTAGCTTAAACCAGCCCTGCACAGCTTGTTATCCATCAAGTTGAATGCAGCATATAATTCCATGTATGGCAGTTCATTAAGTAGTTGATAAATCTCCTGCTCTGAAAGACTACAGAAATAAGGCAGAAGGCAGGAGCTGTCAAGTGCCCAGTATTCAAGGCTTGATCTGTTATAATTTATGCAGACTTAATTTGAACCAACTGCCAAATGAGACATCACAAAGCCCGAACTAAAAATGTTCATTGAAAACATTAAGTGGAACACCAAGGGCTAAAGCAGGAGAATCTGCCAAAGAATGCCTTCCTTTACCTTCTCCTCTGCAGAGCCAACCATTAACACCTGCTTACCTAGCAAGTTAGCAATAACTAACATAGTTATTTGTAAACAAGTATTTATAGCTGACTTGGCAACCTGTGTCTTACCCAGGCTGTCTGATGGACAGTCTCTCATGCTTACATCTCATGCACAACAAGCCTGACTGTACAAGGCCAGGGGACGAAAGTGAGTTAGGTTGGAAGATGTGCTAATACATCTTCACCAATGATCACCTTATCTGTAGTTGGATACCTTTAAAAATGCAGTAATACCCAGTGTGGTATAGTGGACATGTTGATGGATTACGATGCAGGAGACCTGGGTTTGAATCCCCACTGAGCCATAGAATCTCATTGGGTAGGATAGAATTCGTAAAGCCATTCCTTAAATATCTCAGTTGCTTTGAAAGCCCTATTTGGATCACTATAGTCAGTTTTGACTTGATGGCACATAGTAACACATGAAGATGCATGACAGTGTGAAGGAAAACCTAATTCTGCTTTGAAACATTTCAAGAGAGCAAGCTAAATGGATAATGTGTTCTGAAAGGTGTTGACCATTGCAGAATATGTATGACTTTTCATACAACTTTGGGATGTAAGTCCTCTTGCCCCAGATATCTTGCCTATTGATTTGAATGTAACCTCTTGGAAACCTGGTCTTACTATTTTATTATTATTCTGCTAAATGGTGAGGAAAATTTTTCATTTGGTGTCAACATGGAGCAGATAAGACAGCTGAGAAGCTGGCTTAAGAATCATGATAAATCTGACCTTAACTCACTGCGTGACCTAAAAGGTCTTTCCTTGCCTCTAGTATGATAATAGTAAATTTGCCAGAAAGCCCACAATAAGAGAAGTATTGGACTTTGAATGCTAAAAGTGTATCGCTATGCTAGAGAGATATTTGGCCCTATATGAACTGCCATGGCTCCATCTAAAGGAATCCTGGAATTTGCAGATCCTTGGAATTCACTGCTGCCTAGCAAAAATTCCGAGGACCTTACCAAATTACAAACGCCAAGTCTCCATAAGACTGAGCCATAGGAGGTAAAGTGAGATCAAGCTGCCCTAACTGTGTAGTGTGAATATGTGTCTGGAACTGCTACATAAGTGCAAAGTATTTCACTGCTAGTACTATAACTACTATTACTCCTTCTTGATAACTTTATCTCCTGTGAAAACCTTCAGCTTATTAAATGAGTTACATATCTGCCCAAACAAGACACACACACTGCACTGTTATTGCATGACAAATGGTATTGTTGTGTTCTCTTCTGTGGTTTAACTACATTAGGTAAAGGTAAAGGTTCCCCTTGACAATTTTTGTCCAGTCATGTTCAACTCTAGGAGGCGGTGCTCATCCCCGTTTCCAAACCATAGAGCCAGAGTTTTGTCCGAAGACAATCTTCCGTGGTCACATGGCCAATGTGACTTAGACACTGAACGCTGTTACCTTCCCACCAAGGTGGTCCCTATTAATCTACTCACATTTGCATGCTTTTGAACCGCTAGGTTGGCGGGAGCTGGGACAAGCGACGGGAGCTCACTCAGTTGCATAGATTCGATCTTACGACTGCTTGGTCTTCTGACCCTGCAGCACAGGCTTCTGCGGTTTAGCCCACAGCGCCACCACGTCCCTATTAACTACATTAGTCACTAGCTAATAGCTATTCAAATTTGAATCAGATGCCAATAATGGAAAAAATCTGGTGCATTGCCATTGAATTGTAGTTTTTACTTAGAGGTACCCCTTAGTCTTGTATAACTAGCCAAGCCTCCAATTATCGTTATTTTTTGTTTTTTTATAAAATGTGCTGGAATGGGAGGAGTAGAAGACAGGGATGTGCAGACAGTACATATACTCATCCGTGCCACTGTAGGGATATTAAGATAAAAGTTGAGAGGTAACCTAGTAACAGAAAGAAAAGAGAAAATTGCTTTGTTAGAGATTGAAAGCAATTTTTACCCAAACTGTAAATCATCTCACCAAGAATATATGATCCAATAAGTTAAATATGTGTTAAAGATAACTGTGGTTATTTTTAAAAAAGCTTGTTAAATTTAGTACAAATTCTAAAGATTAGAGCTTGATGCCTAACTGTATGCTTCTTTAAATTTGTTCCTTGAAGCTACAATAGAGGGGTTTTTTCTTAAACTACATAAAGTTGCCACAGCATACATGGAAGAGAGGTTTAACCCTTCCCTCCCCTGCTGCCATTCACACCTTAATATGCTGTTGAAAGCATCGCTATTTGAGTGGCAGGGTGATATATTTCTGCACTGGGAAAGGTTGGGTTAACCGTTTCTTCATGAAATCCATGAACCCAATCTGAATAGTAGTAATAACATTTCATGTTTTTGAAAACACACAAACAAACAAACAAACCTCTTTAACATTACATAAAACAATGCATTTAAAATCTGAACAAGTCTTCAGAGCCATTCTTAAAGGTCATGTATGTTTCTACTAATGCCACAGGGAGGCTTAAAAGCTTTCTCAATTCAAAATGGCATAGCAGATGCAATTCTTCTTATTTATTCATGTATTTTTGAGGTGCCCTGACCCACTTTAAGTGGTAAGAATTTTCATGGGCGATACTGTAATGTTTTATTTCCTTTGATAAAACTGGAGACTTCTGCTATCTTTGCTGTGCTTGATTTTCAAATACACAAATAGTATGGGAGTCCTATAAAGAGCAACTGAACTCCACAGATGCTTAGTTCAGCTAGCTTATGACTCTCTCTGCCTCTCCAAGCAACTAATTGGTCATTTCACTCTTTCTGCAGAATGCGAGTCCTATCTTCCCTCCTGCAGATAAATGCTTTGTTCAAGAAAAAAAAATACTCACAGCCACTGAAAACCAATGAGTGCTTTGTCATCCCCCTCCCCTTCCTCCCATCATGTGATAGCTCAGGAAAAATCACAGAGGTAGATAAAATCAAGACAAAAATAGAGCTCTGACTGAAATTGCTTGTTGTGTCATCTTGAAAGTTAATCAGGAACTTTACAGGACTCTCTCAACAGTGGCAGCTGATGGCCAGAAGAACTGGGGTGGGGCGGGGCAGAGCCCTGGTTACCAGAAACATGACCATCTATGGATTATCAGAGGCAGTCATCAGTGCAAATAACCTCAAATTAATAAAGGATTGTTTGCCCAATCAAGATGCAAAAATATAAATAATGAGAGAAAAATCCTTTCCCCAGTCATATTTTGCTGTGGTTTAGGCAGAGCTTGGAATGTGTTCAGTTATTACTTTTCCACAAGCAGACTCCTGTTATTGTTTTTTGTTGCCCACATTGTGCAAGTAATTTGATGCATTGCATGTTGTGAACATATTGCACTGTCATTATCGGGAGGCCAGTATGATGCAGGGAGATACTGTACTGTCTGGTTCCCCCTTGTGGCCCCTACCAATATTTCACCTTGGAAATATTTATAAAAATACAAAAAAGCATAACCAAAGAATACTTCCGCTGCCTCCTAGGATTCATAAATCAATAGCATAAAATGTAGAAGTTTTCTATATAAGTGCCTATTTAAATGCTTATAATGTTCTTTAAAAGTGAGTTTTGGCCTTAACTAGGTATTACTTGTTACACTTAAATAACGTTGATGCTATTTGCTACACTTAAAAAGTAATGTAACTCCTTAGTTACATTGCTTGTCACCAAAAGCAAGACGTAGCAGGTACTTGTCACTAGTTACTTCTAAGCCTTGAGTTCATGAGAAGATGTTGGATGATGGTGAGCATGTCATTCTACAGAATAACATAGGTACAGTTTGTGGTCAAAATATTATTGGTTGTGGGTAGAAAAGAAAAGAAGAGCAAGAGTGGTTGGCAATAGGAGTGTCTTCCCCTTTAGGAGGGGATGGATTATTTTGATAAATTAATCTTTCCTATCTGATCAATATGAGAGATCAGTTAGGCATTCTCTAACTCCCATTGGCTAGCGACTGGGGGTAGATCAGATTATGTCTCCTTGTAATGTATGGCTTAAAAAGAAAACTGGTGAAGCTGAAGGTGCCCAGTTTCAAAGTAATAAAAAATTGTGGTCTGGACTGAGTGGCTTGATCTGCAAAAGCCTAACATGCCAATGATGATGCATTGTGACCATTAAAAGAATTTAGTGATCTTAAGAGTCTTTGCACAAGGTAAGGAGCTCATGATCCAAGCCAAAGGAGGTGTTTAGCCCCAAAAATATGTGTCTGTGTGAGAGAGTCCTGCACTTCTTGGACCAAAGGCCACTCTATTTCCAGTCGTACAAATCTGAGATGTATTTCTCGGAGAAAAGAAAAGTCTTAGACAAGGCACTGACATAACTTTTCTTGATATATGATTGCTGTAGCTCAGTTGAAATGTTTATGGGTAAAGGTAGGAAAATAGAAAACTGTACTTCTATTTCATGTCATTTCTTCAATTCCCACCTGCATTT